GATCCTATCCTCTCGCAACTTCTGGATTCCGAATTATGACAGAATGAGCCCTCACGTCATGAGTGTCATAAAACTCACGTCGTGAATTAGCTAGTTTAGGGTTTTTAAAAGCTAAATCTTCGGAAGGTCATAACTTTTTCATCCGAACTCCGTTTTTGACGTTCTTTATATGCACGCGTAGGTATTTACGAGTACTAAAACTCTCTTTTAGACTTAAATAGCTAATTCTAAGTCTATTTTAAATTCCTCTTATTATAGAGATTTATAGTGTTCGGTTTATCATAACTTCTTCATGCGAAGTCAGATTTAGACGTTCTCTATATTTTTGGAATCGTATGGATGTATACTTTGAGTTGTATCATAAAGGAAGTTCATATTTGTATTAGAATTTATCATGAACTACATAACATTCTTACCACATTACTAGGTTAATATAATCAAATTACATGATTGGCATAATCACATGTGATTGTCTATTGACCTATTTTGACTAGTGTTACAGAGAACGACTGATCAACTAGCAGATATATTCACTAAGGCTTTACCTGAATCAAGTTTCAAAAAAATCTTACAAGGCTTAGGAATGATGAAAGAAGAATCAGTACCAAAATCGCATTCGCTTCAATAAAGGTAAGAAGCGAAATAGAGCGAACCGAAATGAACCGAACGCTTGGTCTATTTCGGGTTCGGTCGTTCTGAACTCGTTCGCTTCTTTATCATCGCAAGGCATTTTTATTGTATTCTTGTGTACACTCTTATAAATATTCTTTTTTATGTTTCTTTTATTTATTTTTATTTTTTTAATTATTTTAATAAAATCCATATATATATATATATATATATATATATATATATATATATATATATATATATTATATATATATATATATATATATATTCGTTTTATTAAAATTTTTCACAAAATACAAAAATATCTTTTATTTTATTTTATTTTCATCTAATGTTTTTACTCTCGATGGTGAAGCTCAAAAAGGTATAACCTCTAGTCTATAAATTAGTTAAGTATCCCTAGAAACATGCTGCTGCATGTTGACTAAAGCCTCTACAAATTTTGAGTGAAGCCTTAATAACATGATACATACAAATCATGTTTTCCCAAACTAGGCTGTTACATTCACTTTAATCATGAGCTACCTTAGTCTTCTCATATTGAGTTTAGAGTTTTCTGATTGGTCCTTCATTTATAGCAGAGGTACATTTGCTTCTTATACTACCTACAACATTTTTCTTCATTACACTTCATCTCACTCATGTAACCCTTGAGACTCTCAGCATTTACCACTGAGGTTTATGGTTATACAAATATCTATGTTTATGATCTTAGTTTCGTGTCACTACGTACTAAGTGAAACCCACAATTCAACACCTTTAATGAATTGATGGTGCATCATTACTATGATACGGTTCTTGAATGAAATCTTTTTTTTCTTTTGAGTGATCCTTCTGAAAATATCTATTACCAATATTTTTCTTCCCCAATGATCTAGTTAAGTTTTTTTTTGAGATTTCTCATTTGTCATCAAGTCACTGAATATCTTAGTTTTGGTTAGCAAAAGAGACAAGAAGAAAAAGAAGATTGGTGAAGATGATACTGATGATGTATTTGAAGAAAATCCCTCTAAGCCTTTTGAGAAAACAAAACTTTATGATAAACAGCTTGAAGAAAAGTTCAAGAAGGAAATGGCTGAGTTGGAGAAGAAAAGAAAAGAAAAGGAGCTCTTGGAGAAGAAGAAGTCTATTTTTCCATAATGGACTATTGATTCGCTTCAAAGAAGCGTTATTGATGAACCGAGTACTCATTGGCTCGAACCTGTCATGTCGTTCGGACTTGAAAACTCAAAGGATGCGCAGTTTGACATGCCAATAACTAGAAAGGCATTCGTCTTTCATTGCTTTAATTCAACTATTGCCATCCCTTCTCCGGACACGAAGGTGGATCGGGATCTGTTGGAGTTCTATTTGGAGTTCGCTTAGCCCTAGTACTTGACCTGGAGTTCATAGAAGATTACAACTGTCAAGGTACTGAAGCCTCATACATCAGGGAAGTTCATTAATATTAAATTTAAAGTGACTCGAGGCTCTGAAGGCCAGGTTCACAATTTCTCCCTAGCTGATCTGCCGAACCTCAACCCTCACGACTGGATACTCCTCAACAACATCTTACTGTCGAATCCTCAGGAGTATCAACCGATCATTGACCATATCAAGCGAATGCTTGTTTGCTACATTCACGAAGTAGCAAAGATGGATCAAGAAATTGCCTTAGATATTCACAAGCGAACCACGATCAAACCAATGGGAAGAGCTGGCGATATAAACTCAATGGTCAAGGGAAAATTGATACAAAATATCACACCATGATGTTTCTCAGAGGCGAAGGTCAAAAATGCATGTTTGCTCTTGTTGATAAGCACCTGTTCTCAACTGCTTACTTGGAGCACATTTTAGAGATCATTCAGAGGTGTAATCAAAACTCAGTGGCCGACAAGAAGATGTTTACTGATATCTTGAGATGGTACATTCAATTTCGTCAGACTCTTCTTGCAATTATCCATCGGCCGTTCAAGGTGGTGAAGACAGTGAAACCAACTCAAAAGAAATAATCTATCGCCTCATTTGACGCAAAGGGGGAGATTGTTAGGGTTATTGTGTTGCGTCATGGGCTCGGTCCTTAGCCCAATTTTGGTTACCGGTATGGGCCTGTGCAACCGTGCATTATTTTAATCTAGGGTTTTAGTATTTAAGGTGCATGCATGCATCCTTAGTTTGTAACACTTTTATTTGTTTTCTCTCATAAGTATTGTAAACCCTAGCTCGCCTTTACAGTGGAAGTTCTTCATCGAGCTTTGTTGAGGTGTGACTATATTTGAATCATAAGCTTTATATTGATTCTATTCTGTGTTCTTAATCGTATTGTGTTTGAATTGTTTGCTCTTCGTTATTATACCTGTGAAAGATCTAAACGATCTGAACTTTATTCTCATCACCACTTATTTATATTATCAATTTCACAATTTTACCTATTATCTAACTTCTTTAACAAATCAGTTTTAGAAGTTTATATATTCTACCCCTCAAATTTTATAAAATTTTACTTTTTTTATTTTAATTACTTTTTGAGTTTTATCATCTTAGGACTCGCTCTCATAAATTTATTCTGCTTATATAAAAAAAGTTTATTTAGAAGGGTCCAATTTTAGTTTTCACATAGTATCTTCAAAATCAACGAACCTTTTCAATAATTAAGTTTTTTTGTTTGTTTGTTTTTTTTTTTTTTTTTTTTTTTTTTTTTCCTAATATGTTATAACTCATTCTCTTAAATTTGTTTTGCTTATATAAAAAGTGATATTTAAAGGGGCTTAATATTAGTTTTCGTACAGGGTCCTCAAAATCAATGGACCGGCCATATATATATATATATATATATATATATATATATATATATATATATATGTGTGTGTGTGTGTGTGTGTGTGTGTGTGTGTTTTCTAACAAATTTACAAGAAACACCCCAAAAAAAATTTCTAGCTCCGCTCTTGATTCTAGAACACCTTTAAATGAATTTTAAATGGTAGAAAAGAGGCGTATGAATATGACATTAAATGTTAGAAAAATGACGCATCAATTACATTTAAATGATATATATATATATATATATATATATATATATATATATATATATATATATATATATATATATATATATATATCCAAAACTTGTACCCTTTTTTGAGCGAAGAAAGAGACACCTAATATGTAAAAATGAGGTCTCGTTTTCATGCATTTTTACCTCACATTTTTATAGGCCTGTCAAAAAAACCCGAAACCTGTTCTACCCACCCGACCTGTTCCAAATTTGGGTAGAATGGGTCGGGTAGAACGGGTAGCGGGTATGAACATTCGGGTAATAGGTTAACCCGATAATAATATAGGTCGGGTTTTATGTATGAATATTTATTTTCGGGTATACCCGAATTCCTTTTTTAAATAATACCAAATATACAATGTAGTCACGTACGCACACTTCAAATAAAACAAAACTCTTTGTTTCCTTTTTATGAACGGCGACTCGACAGTCGACGCAAACTTGAAAAGGGAATACGACGCTAAAGCTGAAGTCCTGAACCGTTATCACAATTCTCAGTTTCTCACTATCGCACGGAATGGAATTTTAAAAAATACATAACATATTATAATGATTTGTATTGTTATTGTATATGTACTTGTTAATTGTATGGAGTATTTTTCTATCCGATTCTTTATTAAACCAACTAACATGTAAAATTTTTTATCAATAAGTGTCATTTAAGAAATTTTCGGGTATACCCGATAATTACCCGACCCGACCTCAAACCCGAAAACCCGAATTACAATATAGGTCGGGTATCGGGTATTATTTTCTTAAGGAAATACCCGTTCTACCCGACTCATTCTACCCGAAACCCGAAAAATTTACCCGTTCGACACCCCTACATTCTTAGGCATCCTCCTCTTCATATTTATCGTTTTTTTGAGGCCTCCAAGAACCATTAGTTATTTTGATCCGGTTCAGTTCCCGGTTCCAAAAATCAACAATAATAGAGCATCTATCCCGGTCTGACCGGTTCCATCAGGTTTCGGTTTTGATACCAGTTTCGACCGGTTCCCCAATCCATATTAGTGGCTCTAAATCGAGGTTGTCTAGTTGTCACAAGTGTTTTTATCACTTTACAGGACAACCAAATAAAAATCGATCAGACCCGTATTTGAACCCGTAAACCACCCACTTAATATTACGACCACCAAAGAAACGAGGGATTCAGTTTCAATCAGGTAAAGGAAAAATCGAGCATTTCAGGTCTCTCTGGAGTCTCGACTCTGGAGTCTCCCCCAATCTCACAAACACCCATGTAACTTTATCTCCATTCTGATTCAGTTTTCATCAGATTCCTATTTGGAACCCTCAAAAGCTCTGTTTCTAGTGAGACCCAATTCAGATTATGGACCAATCTCAAAGGCCCAAAGGCATTCTTCATTCTCTAGGCGAAGAAATCATCAGAATCATAACCCCAGTTTCAATCTGCATGTTCTTAGTGGTCATCTTAGTCTCTATATTGGATGCCGATTCATCAAGCTCTCCTTCATTCACCACCATAGCCACCATAGCTTACGACGAAACCACATCTGATACAGAATGGGACAAATTCAAAGGCGCCCTCTTAAACTCCCTCGTATTCGTCACTGTCGTTACTCTCGTCACTTTCCTACTGGTACTCCTTTTCTACTTCAGGTGCACAGGCTTCTTAAAATATTACATGGGTTTCTCCGCTTTCCTCGTGTTAGGGTTCATGGGTGGTGAAATTGCCCTTTTCTTAATCCAAGTTTTCAATTTCGCCATTGATTGTTTCACTTACGTCTTGTTATTATTCAACTTCACAATCGTTGGCGTTCTCGCGGTTTTCATGTCGAAAATCCCCATCTTTCTGACTCAATCCTACATGGTGATTATTGGGGTTTTGACTGCTTATTGGTTTACAATGCTCCCTGAATGGACCACTTGGGTCCTTTTAGTTGCCATGGCTTTATACGATCTTGCCGCTGTTTTGTTACCCGTTGGTCCATTGAGGTTATTAGTCGAGCTCGCTATATCAAGAGACGAAGACATCCCTGCTCTCGTTTATGAAGCTAGACCAATAATCGATCATGGAAACACCACCATTGTTCAAAGAAGAGTATGGAGAGAGCCTGTTAACCCCGAATCACACATTGAAAGCTCTCAAAATGAGGTAAGTATAGCCAATGTTGAAGAAGGTGAGGGTGATGAGCTCAGGGCTCCATTGATGGAGCCATTGGGCGAGAACATGGCTCTTGAAGGGATTGGATTGGGTGCATCGGGTGCCATAAAGCTTGGTTTAGGGGACTTCATCTTCTACAGTGTGTTGGTAGGGAGGGCTGCAATGTATGATTTCATGACAGTTTATGCGTGTTATCTTGCCATTATTGCAGGTCTTGGTATCACTTTGATTCTTCTTGCTTTGTATCAAAAAGCTCTGCCTGCTCTTCCTGTATCTGTTTTGCTTGGAGTCTTGTTTTATGTCTTGACTCGGGTGTTTCTTGAAGAATTCATAGTACAATGTTCTTCAAATCTCTTGATGTTTTGATACTGAATTCCGTATTGTTGGGCTATATGAATATGACTTGATTATTTAAAGAGTTTAGCATCTTAATGTATATTGTGTGTTATCGTGTTGTGTTGAATTAGATTATTCAAAGAAAGGGCTGGAAGAACTGATACAGAAAGTGTTAGTTTGAGCATGAAATCTAAGTTGAGTCTTTATTCTTCCATCTTTCTGTTAAAATATGATAGCATTCGCTTTTCATTTGCACTCTTTTACGTTCAAAGGGAGCAAATGTATGTGCTCCAACATCAATTAGCTATGGCAAATCATAAACTAAAGGTGTAAGGTTCATGATTTCTGCCTTATAATGATTGTATTAGAGAGAAATAAAGTGGGATGTTGTATTACACAAATGAATGTGAGTACATTGCTACTTCTTGCATTCTATATCTTTTTAAAGATATTATTCATGCTTCGGTTGATTTCTGGAATGATGTTATGTATGTAGAGGTGGGTCATGCATAATTTATCTATTTATTATTATTATTATTATTATTATAATAATATTCTTCTACCTTAGCTACAGTAATTTTGTTAAGGATTTGGCAAAAATGATCCTTCTTTTATATATACATGTTCAATTGTGTTTCATTTTATCTTTGCCAAGGATTTGGTAAAAATGGTCTTTCATTTATATATATATATATATATATATATATATATATATATATATATATATATATATATATATATATATATATATATATATATATATATATATATATATATATATATGTTTTTTGTCAATTTTGCCTCCTATTCTTTTGTCATTTTGATATCTTTTTGTTCTTGCAATCAAAATTTTTATATTTTTTAGAAACTTTTAACACTCAAAGTTTGGTCACAAAACTTTAAGGAATTGACAACTTTGGCTACTTTTTTAAAAACTTTCTAATTTCAACCCTTTAATTCTTTAGTCATTTTGATATTTTTGGTCTTTACAGTCTAAACTTTTATATTTTTTCATAAAAAACACAAAAAAACGGCCCGAGGTAAAGTCCGGGTTTGTCCTCATATTTAACTTTTTTTGTTTTTTCCTGTTCATTGCACTTTCTGCCGGCTCTCATTTTCTTCTTTTAGTATATTTTTTTATATATTGGTCCGCATATTTATTTTTTTGTTTTTTTTTCCTACCTTTATCTATTCGTTTCTGTCTCTGAAAATTAGGGGTCGAATTATCCCACCTTCATCTTTTAACAAAAACAACACTCAAATCAAACGCACATGACCCATGCGGAGCATGGACAACATATCTAGTTTGTATTAAAATAGTCCATAAGCATTTTTCAATAATTCTAAAAATGAAGATTCCAATTTCTTACAAGAAATCTTCGAATTTCGTTTATGTATGAAAAGTAATTGTCATGGTGCCCAAATTAATATAACATGTTCATCAAATAAATGATATTAACATCAAAGATAAAAACCAAAACCAAATTTCCTATATGCAAAGATAATATCATGTGTTATTCGAATTCACATCTACACTTTGCTACATAAATGATCAAAAGAATATCTCAAGAAACAGATAATGAAATTTCACATAAATGTTATATATATGGTGATGTTGGACCACTTTTTTTGCAATGATACGTACAAGAGAGCCATATCTTTGAAACAATGATCGACCTTTTTCTTTGGCTCTTTTGTCAATATAAAGTCATAGCACCATATAGTTGGCATGTTCATTAGACTTTATTGGTCTTTTTGTTTTACAATAAATATAGTCTTTAATTTTAATTTTTATGAAACTACGTTAGGCAGGTAGGTATACACCCACAGCACAGCATGGTGAGGTGAGGTGTCTCTGTGTAATTTTATTTTAGAACGAAAAGAAACAAATGCACGAGGGTTGATCTTGTCTATGAATTGGTTCCCATTTCTTTTGTTGGGCTCCACCATACACAAAAAAATTTAATATATTAAGTGGTTAATTAAAAGTTGTTTTTTAAAAAAAAAAAAAAAATTTTAAATTTTACGTGCTCTTCTTTTTTAGTTTTAATTTTATAGAGTAATGCTATTTTGTGGGTTTAGTAAATTATTAAACTATAATTTTATATATTTAATAAAGCAAAGTGAGAAGTAATCATTTCATATTAGTAAAGGGGTGATAGGAAAATACGATTACAAACAGAGTTGTCATTTGATTTCGTTTTCCATAACGTAATTTGCCATAAAAGAGGTAGAGATGTTTGAAATTTGGCTACAAGAGTAAAGCAACGTTAAACGAATCTTATATACCATCATCTGGTTGTAATTATTATTATTAATTTAGGGGTTGGCTAAGAATACACCCTATATTGTAATATGGACACCCTAATTAATTTTTTAAATGTTTTTATTGGCAGAAATTACATTGTTTTCCGGAAAAGCTGATTATAAACAGTAAATTATTGGTTGACTTTTTAAAAAGTGATCAATAGGGTGTTTAAGGGGTGTCTTATTAGCAAATAACAACTCTGTTTGTAGCCAAATTTTCTTGATGGTTCATTTTCGTTTAACGTTGCTTTACTCTTGTAGCCAAATTTCAAACCATCAAGAAAATGAACCTTTGACTTTAAGTAATTTTGACCTAAAACAAAAAAGAAAGAAAAATTATGAATATTTAATTTAAAAAAATTATAATATACTACATATGGATCCGAACAATAATACAATTCATTATTATATGTGAAATAGATCTGAGAAATACTATAATATAATACAATATATATATAATCAAATCTAAAAGAATAGTATATATGAATCAATATCTAAGAAATCTACAAATATGAAGAAAAAAAAAGTTTATCATTTTAAGCTGAGATCAATCAAATATGAATAAAAGTAAAATGATATGGACACTTCAAGGTTTAAATAAAAAAAATAAATATATTTTTATGTAAAATGTAAAATGGAATAATAACGATTTTAGTTTGTTCTTTTGAAAAAATACGTATTTATTTGCACGGATAAATTCTTTCTAATAAATGAAGGTTTTTTTTTTTTACCAATTGTCACACTCTCGAATGTCATTTTTTGGTTATTTTGATTTTTTTTTCCACATGTCATTTTATAAGTTTTTCTAGTTTATAAAATTTCACATGATATTTTAATATAATAATTACAATAAATATAGTAATAAATGGATATCAGTTTCATTAATAAATTTATTTTTTAATTTCAAATTTTACAAAATTAAAGGTCATTAATTTTTTATTATTATTATTTATTTAAATTATTTGTTTAAATTTAAAAGATAAAAAACATTTCTTTTATAATAATTCATTATTTTCTTATTTTCTTATAAATTCAAAGTTTTTAATATTTTCACATTTATATTTAGTTTTAAATTATTATTATTATTATTATTAAATAAAGACATGTAATAGATACTTTGTTATAAAATATCCAATTCTCATATTGCAAACACGAAATGATTCAAGTACACAACATGTATGATTACCTGTTTTATTGTTTTTTTTTTAATATTATAATAATTTATCAATAAAGAGGCTTTTCTTTCTACACCTAATCCCAAAGTTTTTCCATACACCATGTGAATCTCCCCTTTAACTGTGCTAGAACCGTTGACTTCATTCTTAGTAATACTCTTCACATCTCATCCAAATTTCTTTGCAAATCGCTTTCGCATAAACTTTCCTCAACAAAGATTCAATTCTATTAATTTTTCAAGCATACCTTCAATGGCGTTTTCTTCAACTCCAGTCATTCCCAAGAGCTTCAAATATGATGTATTTATGAGTTTTAGTGGCGAAGACGTTCGTTCTAATTTCATTGATCATCTTTATTATGCTCTCAATCACAAAAGCATTTACACTTACAAGGATGATGTGAGAATCAAGAAAGGAAAAAACATCACTGATGAGCTCAATGGATCCATTGAAGACTCAAAATTCTACATCATTGTCTTCTCAACGAACTATGCTTCTTCATCATGGTGCTTGGATGAGCTTGTGAAGATAATGGAGTGTCACAACACTAAAGAGCATAATGCTTTCCCCATCTTCTATGATGTGGAACCCAGCGAGGTTCGTAAACAAAAGGGGAAAGTTAAAAAAGCTTTTGCCAGTCTTAAAAAGGAAGAGGCTGCTGGGAAATGGAGAAAAGCTATGAAAGAAGCAGCTGATGAGGCTGGGTGGGAGTTGAAGAAAACTTTTGATGGGTAATTCCTATTCCTTCCTTATGTTTCTTTCTAATCCATATTTACAAGGGTCACTCATGGCATCTCATGTACGTTTTAGCTAAAACCTAGTCGATCTTTACAACAAATTAAAATGAAATAGTATGATTATACGAAGATGGTATTTACTTCATGTTGTGTGTCATGGATCTGATGTAATTGGTCACGCGATTGAGCTATCGGTTAACCGAGTCTTCTTTAAAATGCAGGCATGAAGCTAAATTCATCCAAAAGATTGTTGAAGAGATTTCACTAGAGTTACGTTCCATAAATTATATCATTGATGAGAAATTAGTAGGCATGAAGACCCGTATCCAGGATGTTGTATCATATTTAGGAACCGGTTGTAATGATGTCCGCATCATTGGGATCAAGGGGATTGGAGGTGGTGGGAAGACAACTTTGGCGAGAGCTGTTTTTGATCAAATATCCTTTCAGTTTGAAGGCAAAAGTTTCGTTGAGAATGTTAGGGAAGTTTCAAACGCTTCTGCCACTGGTTTGAACTCTTTGCAAAACCAAATCGTTTCGGATGTCTTGAATGATAAAGTCATCAACGAAAGTAACGTTTTTGATGGGAAAGCCATGATGAAGAGGATGATGTCAAGTAGAAAGATTCTTGTTGTTCTAGATGACGTGGACAATATAGACCAACTTGAGGCGTTAGCAGGTGAGCCTAATTGGTTTAAGCCAGGAAGTGTAATTATCATTACCACAAGAGATGAACAAGTGTTGGTAGCACATGGAGTGAAGTTGATTCGTAATGTCGATATGTTATCGGTTAAGGAAGCAACTTGCCTTTTTAGTAGGTATGCATTTGGGAAAGAGATTCCAATTGCAGGGTATGAAGAGTATTCAGGGCAAGTAGTAAGTTATGCTGATGGTCTTCCCTTAACTATTAGAGTTTTGGGATCGTTTCTCTGTGGTAAAGATGATAGTGAATGGATAGACGCTCTAGACAGATTGAAAACAATTCCGTTAAAAGAAACTCTAAAACAATTGGAATTAAGTTATATCGGTCTAGAGGAGGATTACAAGGAAATATTCCTAGATGTGGCATGCATACTTAAAGGCCAGCGAAAAGACTTGGTTATCGAAGCGCTTGAAAGTTGTGGCTTTCATGCTAAAAATGGTTTAAGAGTTTTGGAGCAAAAATCTCTCATAACTTTTTATCATCATTCTGATGATGGTGAGTGTGTGGGGATGCATAACCATCTTGAAGAAATGGGCAAGAATATTGTTCGTCGTTCGCACCCAGATATGCCTAATAAACATAGCCGATTGTGGATTGACGCCGAAATTGAAAACATATTGGTTAATAACATGGTAAGGATCAAGTTTATTTGTAAGATATAGAAAAAGTAACATATTTATTTACTTGTTATGTGCCAATTTTCATGTATGGTGACTGCTTTTTGGATTGCAGGGAACCGAGGTAACAAGATGTATACAACTCTACACATGGGGACTCGAACCTGAAATTGTTATGAAAGGTCTCAGAAAGATGAAGGAACTCAGATTTCTTGATGTGTCTACGGGATTTCTTGACGAAGGAACTCGGATTAGCTGTTTTCAATGGAATTGGATATTTAATACATTCAGCCCATATCTCCCAGAATCTTTACGATATCTGCGTTGGAACCATTACCCGTTTACGTCTTTACCCAAAACATTTGAAGCAGACAATCTTGTTGCACTTTCGATGTCTGAAAGTGGAATATCACAACTTTTGGAAGGGGGAGAAAGAAAGGTAGCATTATGGTTAATTGATTGTTTTTTCATGGTTCTTTATAAGGGCATCTGTAATGCATTGAATTAATAGATTTGCATATCATCGTTTTACTCTCGTTACGAATCTATCAAAAATTTTCTACAATGCATTAAATTGTACAAAGTTTAACGAAACATGTTTTTTAGAATATAAAAAGTTGTTTTTTCTGTTGAAAAGTTCAATGACCATTGAACGACAACATAACATCCCACAATGATAAAGTCTGATTTATTGAATTTCAACTCTCTGATTAATTAAACTATGCATCATGGATTCTCTAATGCCATACACTCGCCACTTCATTATTACACCAATTTTCATATTGTTTTTTTTTTTCTTATGTTAGGTTCTAAAAAAGCTACGATTCCTTGACCTCAATTACTCAAAGTTAAGGACCCTTAACCTTGGGTTGATTCCAAATCTTGAGGCGTTGTTTCTTGGAGGATGTGGTGATTTGGTAAAACTTAACATGCCCATCGAATGTCAAAAGCTCAAATACCTTGACCTTTATCGTTCAAAGTTAACGACCCTTGACCTTCGGCTAACTCCAAATCTTGAGTGGTTAGATATTGGAAGATGTTATCATTTGGTAGAACTTCATATGCCCCATGGAGGTCTAAAGCTTAAATACCTCAACTTCACAAAGTCAAAGTTGAGGACCCTTGACCTCAAGATGGCTCTGAATCTCGAGAGGTTAAATCTTGATGAATGCGCCGATTTGGTGGAACTTCACATGCCAAGTAGATGTTTACATCTCAAATCCATCAAACTCACTATGTCAAAATTAAGGACCCTTGACATCGGGGTTACTCCAAATCTCGAGTATTTAAATCTTGAAAATTGCTATGATTTTGAAGAACTTCACATGGCTAATGAATGTCAAAAGCTAACATCCCTCAACATTAGTCATTCAAAGCTTAGAAGCCTTGACCTTCTCCTCACTCCAAATCTCGAGAAGTTAGATCTTAAAGAATGTCATAATTTGGTAGAACTTCACGCTCCCATTGGATGTCTACAAAAGCTTGTCTACTTAGACTTAAGTGGTTGCTTGAGGTTTAAATCTTTTTTGTTTCGCATAGAGGATGATACTTCTTGTAGTGTGGATGAATCACTTGAGGTTGATCCTTTAGCCGATTTACATCTAATTTCAAAGTCCCTAGAAAGATGCCCATTTCATCCCGACAATAATTCACCAAAGTTTCAGTTTACATGCCTATATAAAGAAGATCGACCCTTATTGACTAGAAATCTTGAGAAGCTTATTTCTGTAGGTCTTTGTGCTTGCACAAACCTTGAGATGTTTTCAGAAAGCATTTGTGGGTTACAACGTTTAAGAAAGCTTATACTCAAAAGCTATCCAGAGGTGCCCAAGGACATTGACCACTTAGAATGTCTAGAGGAGCTAGTTTTGTCATCTACAAAAGGTAGACATCTTCCCGATAGCATTTGTATGTTGAAACATCTTAAATCTCTTGAACTTCTATCTTGTGGGCGTCTTGAGAAGTTACCCAAGGATCTTGGCCAATTAGAATGTTTGCAGAAGCTAAGGTTGTCATCTACAAAGGTAAAACGTCTCCCTGACACCATTTGTATGTTGAAGCAACTGAAATCTCTCAAAATTATATCGTGTGGGCGACTTCAGAGGTTACCTAAGGATCTTGGCCAGTTAGAATGTTTAGAGAAGTTAAGGTTGTCATCTACAAGGATAAAACGTCTTCCTGACAGCATTTGTGTGTTGAAACAACTGAAATCTCTCAAGATTATATCTTGTGAGCATCTTGATAAGTTACCCGAGGATCTTGGCCAATTAGAATGTTTACAGAAGCTAACTTTGTTAGATACAAAGATTAAATATTTTCCAGATAGCGTGTGTATGTTGAAACATCTAGAGTCTTTGGAACTTAAACCTTCTTCACTACGTGAGAAGTTACCTGTGGAGATTGGCCAATTAAATGTTAGTGACACTAATCCTAATGGTAATGGAGTTTCTATGTAGGCCGGAAAAGCCAATTTATGTGATTGTATTTTGAAATTAAGATGATAATAATAAATTCTTACTTCTCATAGTTTACCAAAATTTCGATTTTCTGGATGTGTGTCATCAAGTAATATTGTTAAATGTTGTATAAAAAGGATCATAAGTTATGTTGCAGAATGAAATGACGCAAATACAATGTTATTGTTAGGCCAAGTAATTTGTAATGAAATGTTTTATGATTAGTATATTATCCAAAAATGCATGGTCAAGAACACCGTAAGTTAAACCAACAACACTCTCATGAAAAAAACGATTACGATTATGTTTGCACTTTTAGTTGTCGAATGAAATCAGGCATTCAGTAGAGTCAAACTGTGTTACTCATGATGAAAATGGTGGGACTTTGTTAGGAGGTGGGATATGATAATTATAAAAGTAAATTCAGGAAGGTATTATAAGTGATTTAAGATAGTAAACATGTTTTCATTTGCACAAAAATCCAAATCAGAAATGGTGAAAGATTTCATTCTTCGTTTCTTTCAGATACTAACTAGATTTGGTGTTACAAAACCTGATTCCTCTTTTTCAAGCAAAGGTAATTCTAAAACTAAACTATATAAGAATTTAAATGTGAGTTATTTGATAGAGGCGATGAGGTATTCCTACATTTTAAAGTAGGGTATTGTAAAGAATATTTGTTTGGGGTAACACAACAGAAATGAGGATTAGGAGTAAGAATCGGATTGTAAACAAAGCTGCTTCACCATTGCCGGAAGAGAGAGTAACACTAAAAACCATTTTGACCTTAGCTTTCTCTATTAAGAATTAGGTTTTTGTTACGTATTTTATTTCATAGACTTAACTCTTAAGTATAGTTGTGTTTAAATTATCAGATCACTATTTTAAAATAATAATAGGTGACAATACTCTTTTTTTAAGAAGTAGATCTAATTTAACTTAATAAAATATTAATTAGTGGGATATCAAATGGATTTGTGACGCTATATAGAATTTAATACGAATTCAATTCATAAGAGGGCATTTTATAAAAATAAATTACATGTGATCTGTATTTGGCATTAAAGAAGACTTTATATTTAAAATATACTTATTTTTATAAAATATATTAATTGGAAAAAAGAAACTATACGTAAGGACTATATTTAAGTATTTAACTCTAGCACTTAGATATAGGTGATATAGTGACCTTCGATTAAATATGGGACATGGTGAAATGCTTTCAGGCCACATGATTAATATGACTGATTTTATAGGTGCATTTGAAGTATGAGGTAGATGTTTTAGATCAAAACATTCTAACGTGCCAATAGAATGATGACATATTGTTGACCTTTCAGTTGATATTGAGGCGAGTAATAACGTAGTAAATGCTTTAAGTATTCTATGTATCATATATACTATTACTTATTATATGGCATGTTACATGAAGCTCGGTTTTGAAGATGTTTTGTATTGAACAAAGTTATTTGGATTGGAAAATAGTTTGAGCATATACTTATTATGCATTGCATATAGGATGTAGTTTGAGAGTTTCCATGACATAGAATTAAATTCCTTGGAGAATAAATGATCAAATATCCCATAGTTAAGGGGAGGTGCCATTTTAATCGGAAGGAAGAAAATTTCTAAACTGTAAGTATAAGCTTAGAGAGAATTTGCAACTACATTTCTTAAAAGTTATGGTAATGATCACATGATTCTCTAAATTTACTTAAAGGATTGGTCCCTTTTATATGATCTATTTGATCATGACTTATTGATTTAATGGCAACAAATTGAGTTGCGGTTAGTGCTAATATGAGGGAAGTTAGCGACCATTTGTCCTTTAGAATGAGGTCTTACTGAGTATAAACTTGGGTTGTGTTTAGATGCATGTACATTTTCATAGTTATAATTTTGAGTAAACGTTATCTAAACTTTTAACTCGATTATTCTTATTTGTTGAAAATATTTTGGGAATTAAGACTAAGAAATTGGGTTATTGCTATCACGCAATTCTATTCCAAAGTCTAATTTCGGTATTACACGCCATATACTTGAAGATGAAGTCATTAGTTAGCATATACTTGGAATTTTAGAAAGCCATGTTATATGGTTTATCTTTGACTTTTGTAATGATATTATAATGAACACTAATGCACTTAAGCTTGGATTTAAACTTATATTTATGTTTTGCTAACCAAATTTTGTATAAATGTTTTCAAATGAGTAAATGGTTTTACAGAGATAAACATATTTCTACTAGCCCATTTCATAAAACCTCCAAACCTGTAATTTGTATTTTAAATGGTTATTTAAAAAAGCATATGTGATGAATGTTTCAGAAGAGCTCCTCCGTTCCACGTAGAGTGTTTACTAAGAAGAAGATTTCCAAACTTAGTTTTTTATTCATCAAGAAAACATATTTCTTTTAGTTTAATGGAAAGGTTAAGATGAAAATAACACAATCAAACCCAATATCACCAACATATCAAAAGAGACTTTAAATCCATAGTTATGATTTAAGCAATAATGTAATATCAAAAAAAAAAAAGACAGGGAGATGGGGTAATCTACTGGTGAATACTCACATGTATTGCCTCCAGTTGTGTTGTATTATGATTAGTTTGAATAAATACCATTAAGTGGCTTATAAATTTTCCAAGCTTTATTTTCACAACCATAAACACTATCAGAAGTTGTCAAAATCAAATCCTTGTATGAAAAGAAGGTAATTCTTTAGCAAAATTAGTTTATGATACCTACAAACATTATAAATTATAAATGAGAAGTTATCAATCTTTATTAGAAAGAAAAACAAATTCAAATCCTTTTTTGCCACTGATCGTGTTTAAATTAACTTAAATTCATTTAATCCATTTTCATATTCATATTCATTTTCACTTGCAACTATTTTCGGTTTTCTTCAGGTCAAGAATGATCTCATCTAATTTTCTTAGCCTCTGTATGACCCCTTACTTTTATCTTCTTTATTGGAGCATCATCATCATCATCGCATGCAACTATTATGAGATAGATTCATTAAAATAACCAAAAAACGAAAGAAATTGAGATGAAACTGATTCAGAATCGAAAAAAAACAAAACCAAAAGATGATGCAGTGAAGTCGGTGTGATTTACCCGGTCGATCTCTCTTGTATTTCGACATATCTGTACAGCTGGAGTAGAAGCTATGATGTGCTGGTGAGTATAAAGTCAACCTCATTGACATTTTCCGCATCTGCGATATAAATACAAAGATGAAGTCCAGGGTTCCTGATTCTTCGATGAAACCTACAGTAGAGACGACACAAATTCGAGGGGAAGATGCAAAATCGAGGAATTGAATACCAATGTCAATTTGGTTCAAAACCTCGCTGTGAAAAATGAAGGAATACGCATGGCTTGAAGATCGGAATACGAATCAGGTGCGAATACTAATGACACATCGGCTTGAACATATTGAAGTTGGCGCAATACCAGCCGCTGCAAGATTCAATATGTATACAGGGAAAATGCCTTAAAAGACCAATTAAGTTTAAAAAACGTTCATATTACCCCAATTACGTTTTTGTTGTTCACAAAAAACCAACGAAATAATGTTTTTTATTATAAATCCAAATAAAGTTACGAATAAAAATAAGGTTTTTTAATGGTGACCGGTATCTGTGGGTTACGATTCTTTGTTTACCGGTGATAATCTGACATGGATTATTAAAACACATTACATCAAACATAAGTGCCACAAGGATATCGATTCACCATCAAGGGTTCTCAGTGAAGGGTGAAATCGATATCTAGGGTTCTTACATAACGGTGAACGGTGAACTCGTGACAGTGAAATTGATTTTTACAGAAGGTGAAGGAAAGTTAGTCGATTGTGCAGCAAGGGTTCTCAGCAGTAAGCGTGTCTCGTGACTCACTCAACATTGATGTCTCGTGTAGCAAGCGTATCTCGTGACTCACTCAACATTGATGTCTACCATCAAGGTGTTTTTTCTCCTAATCCCTTGGTTTACTTTCATCCTGATAAAGTACATGTTATAGGGCTAGATGTACGTAACATGGATTTCAAGAAGTTCAAGACCTATCTCCAAAAATTGATCAACAATAGATGTCGGGATATGTATTACTGTCTTAAAAATCGGTCCCTCGTAGATGGGTTAAGGGAGCTCAGGGATGAAGATGATTATGTTAGGTTCCTTGATGCTGGGTTTGATGATGATGATAATCAAATAAGTATCTACATTGATGACCATCATGAACCCTTACTAGATTGGATTGAAGAAGAAAAAGCTGAAGAATGGGATAGTGGTACTGAAACATATGAAGATGATGTGGACTCGGTATTATCGGATGATCTATCGGTGGACCATGAAGCTGATGATGAGGACATTCAATGGCCTGAAGTTGTTGATCCTTTTTTGTCACAGAAGAACTTATTCCACAAAGAGGCATAGAGGAAGAAGCTGGTGGTAAGGTAAAAAAACATCCTATTCACGATCCAAACCAAAAATGGGACACTATGATGCCTGAGTTAGGTATGAAATTCTCTGATCGAGATGAACTGAAACATATGTTAACAAATTATGCTGTGTCTAAGGGTTATTCATTGTGGTATGAAAAAAATGAGGCAAAAGCATTGTTAGTAAGGTGCAGTAAAAATGAAAAAGGGAAGCCATCTTGCCCTTTTAGACTATGGGCTAGTCCCATGAACAAGGAAAATTCATTCCAGATCAAGTCACTAATTGATAAACATAATTGTGCTAGACAACAAAAATTGGGTTGTCTTGTTACGTATAAGTGGATTGGAAAAAATGTTAATACCTCACATTTTGGAAAGGCCTAAGTTTAGCTATAGGAAAATGGCAGAAGTGGTTAGGAAAGACTATGGTCTCAAGGTAAGTCTTGGGCAGTGTAGAAATGCCAAGTACTTTGCACTATATGAGATTTCAGGCAATTTGGTAAGCCATTATGAGAAACTGTGGAATTATGGTGCTGGGTTATTGAGGGTTAATCCTGGGTCAACAGTCTTGATCGAGACAAATCATACGCCTGATGCTACACACTACTTCAAAAGGATGTATATTTGCCTGAAGTCTATCAAGGATGGCTGGATTGAAGGATGTAGAAGGGTTATCGGTGTTGATGGCTGTTTTTTGAAGGGTATTTGTAGAGGTGAGTTGTTAACAGCCGTTGGTAGGGACGCAAACAACAAAATGTATCCTCTAGCATGGGCTGTTGTGCTAGTTGAAAACAATGAAACTTGGATGTGGTTCATTGATCTTCTACTTAAGGACATTGATATGGGAGATGGTAGGGGTCTTACAATTATTTCAGACCAACACAAGGTGTGTTATAGTTTACATTTTACTTACTGTATTATGTGTTATTATGTACTTTAAAACTGAAATTTGTTATCACCTTGTAGGGTTTAATGGAGGCTGTTAAGGAAAGGGCACCATCATGTGAGCATAGGAATTGTGCCCGACACATCTATGCCAACTTTAAGAAGAAGGGGTTCACGGGTGTTGAGTTTAGGAGGTTATTTTGGAGTGCTGCAAAGGCTACAACCGATTCCAATTTCCGATCATACATGAGGGAAATTCGTACAATGTCCACAGAAGCTTATGAGCACCTGATAGAAAGAGACCCAAATACATGGTGCAGAGCATTCTTTGAACCTCAGACTTGTTGTGATGCGGTGGAAAACGGTATATCTGAATCTTTCAATGCAGCAATTGTAGAGGCCCGGAAGAAACCAATAATAACAATGCTGGAAGAAATCAGATTGTACGTGATGGAGAGGATGTACAATCAAAAGATTAAGGGGCATAAGTGGGACATGGAAATCTGCCCCTCTATTAGAAAGAGGATTGAGAAGATGAAAGAAGAACAAAGGTATATTATTTAATTGTAAGTGATTTAATATGAAATAACTTACCTTCTTAATATGATTTCAGGTACTGGGATGTTATTCCAAGTGGCGAGGAAGAATATGAAGTGAAATTAGCCCATGAAGTTTATGTTGTTCACCTTGAAAGCAAAACTTGTGGTTGCAGAGCCTGGCAACTCAGTGGTATCCCTTGTGTGCATGCCATTGCTGCTATATTATACCTGAATGGAAATGCAGAGGACTATGTAGCAGTATGGTTTAAAACAAGCATGTTTGGAGGTTGCTATAGGTATCCAGTCAAACCAATAAATGGAGCTAACATGTGGCCTGATGTTCTATTTGATCACATATTACCACCTCGGCATAAGAGAATGCCAGGAAGGCCCAAAGTAAACAGAATGAAATGTTCTACAGAAAATGAAGGAAAGCATAAAATTAACAAGACAGGGATGTCCATCTCAAGATGTAGTAATTGTCATCAAGAAGGACACAACAAGAGGCGATGTCTATTGCTCAAAGAAGGTTCGTTTTTATTTTGATTATTCATTCATCTACATTTGTATAATAATTATTATTTTTGTTTTAACAATGCAGCAAATAAAGCAACTGTTAGTGAAGGGGATGTTGAAGAAGGGATTAGTCAAGATGGGATTAGTGAAGATGGGGTCAATGAAGATAGGATCAATGAAGATGGGGTTAGTGAAGATGGAATTGGTGAAGAAGAGGCTGTTGAAGAATACGATATTGAAGACCACCAAGAGGATGAAATTGAACAACAAGAGGATGAGATTGACCATCAAAAAAATCATCACCATCAGCATCAACCTGTTTTTTTCCAGCATTTTGTTGCGAACAAAAGGCGATTACCTTCTGAGAGGATCACGAAACTGAAGTTAAGGAAGAAGGTGGTAACAAAAGATGGAAGTGGGGAAAGTACTGAAAATCCAGTTACTTTAAACTAGGATAAGTGTGTTCTATTAGGATTATGTCAGATACTTTGAAATGGCACATCTTTTGGTGCTTAGTGCACATCTTTTGGTGCTTAGGCTTGTCTTTTTGATGCTTAGGCTTGTCTTTTGGTATTGTGCACATTTACCAACATTTAGTGCCATGTGCACATGCTTGATTATGTGGTTTAATTATGCTTTGATATGTAGTTTATTACCTTTTATGCATATTATAACAATGTACCATTTTGCCCCTATTTGTTAAAACTATGTTAAAATTGGTAAAAACTGTTTTGTGGGACTATTTTGTCAATAAAACTGCCCTTGTGTTTAAAAACCATTTACAACACAAATTACATGCATAATGTCAAACACAGGTTTTATGGACTATTTTTCCCTTCCTATTATCATTTGATAAAGTGTAATCTTATTATGGACTATTTTGCCCTTGCTATTTTCAATCAATAAAAGTATGTTGCTATTATGTGTGTTTTCAATAAAACTGCCCTTGTGTTTAAAAACCATTTACAACACAAATTACATGCATAATGTCAAACACATGTTTTATGGACTATTTTGTCCCTGTTATTATCATTTGATAAAGTGCAATCCTTTTATGGACTATTTTGCCCTTCCTATTATCATTTGATAAAGTGTAATCTTATTATGGACTATTTTGCCCTTGCTATTTTCAATCAATAAAAAGTATGTTGCTATTATGTGTGTTTTCAATAAAAATGCCCTTGTGTTTAAAAACCATTTACAACACAAATTACATGCATAATGTCAAACACATGTTTTATGGACTATTTTGCCCCTGTTATTATCATTTGATAAAGTGCAATCCTTTTATGGACTATTTTGCCCTTCCTATTATCATTTGATAAAGTGTAATCTTATTATGGACTATTTTGCCCTTGCTATTTTCAATCAATAAAAGTATGTTGCTATTATGTGTGTTTTCAATAAAACTGCCCTTGTGTTTAAAAACCATTTACAACACAAATTACATGCATAATGTCAAACACATGTTTTATGGACTATTTTGTCCCTGCTATTATCATTTGATAAAGTGCAATCCTTTTATGGACTATTTTTCCCTTCCTATTATCATTTGATAAAGTGTAATCTTATTATGGACTATTTTGCCCTTGCTATTTTCAATCAATAAAAAGTATGTTGCTATTATGTGTGTTTTCAATAAAACTGCCCTTGTGTTTAAAAACCATTTACAACACAAATTACATGCATAATGTCAAACACATGTTTTATGGACTATTTTGTCCCTGTTATTATCATTTGATAAAGTGCAATCCTTTTATGGACTATTTTGCCCTTCCTATTATCATTTGATAAAGTGTAATCTTATTATGGACTATTTTGCCCTTGCTATTTTCAATCAATAAAAAGTATGTTGCTATTATGTGTGTTTTCAATAAAACTGCCCTTGTGTTTAAAAACCATTTACAACACAAATTACATGCATAATGTCAAACACATGTTTTATGGACTATTTTGTCCCTGTTATTATCATTTGATAAAGTGCAATCCTTTTATGGACTATTTTGCCCTTCCTATTATCATTTGATAAAGTGTAATCTTATTATGGACTATTTTGCCCTTGCTATTTTCAATCAATAAAAAGTATGTTACTTTTATGGACTATTAGCCTTCATAAACACCTTCTATGTGTATCAGTCTTCACAAATACCTTCTTTTCATTCCCACTTCGTAGCTATTTTACATGAGTACAATGCAACTACTTTGAAGATACATATCCTGATAATTTCAAAGTACATTTTCCTTACATAATAAACTTAACACTAAATCATGTACTTCACTACAAACAAAACAACAAACATCAACACTAAACATTTCATTTTATCCAATTCCTTTCTAAAACTCTTACATTCCTTATCAGTCTTCATCTTGTACTCACTGAAATCATGTTCCAATATTGCAATCTTCACTTCAGTATTGAAATCATGTTCTTCATCTTTCTTATTCTCGTTCTTGGTTATAATTTCTTCATCATCATCAACCCATTCCCAGAAATCACATTTATCATTTGGATCCTTCATCTTAAATTATAACATAAACAAACAATATTGTAGCATGAAAAACAAAAAGGGACCCAAACAAGAACAAGCTTTTAGATATATACTTACCAAAGAGTTAGGACAAACCCTAAATTTTTTACCAGGATTTGCCTTTGTTGTTGATATCCAGATGCGAGAAGGAAACCCACAATCACAAGGATGTGCCTTATCAATTGTGCTTTTTGACTTGGAAATTTTTGATCTTGAGCATGAGTTGGAGGATCGAGACGAAGAAGCCATGTTGAAGAAGTCGATTGAAGAAGTCGATTGATTAAGGAGTCGTATCCCCCATTATGCCCTATATCTATCTAACACAAATGCCACGTAGATATGCCAACACATATGCCAACTCAACATAAATATGCCAACTCATTTACCCCCATCGTTTACCTGCAACATGCCGGTCACCATTAAAAAACCTTATTTTTATTCGTAACTTTATTTGGATTTATAATAAAAAACATTATTTCGTTGGTTTTTTGTGAACAACAAAAACGTAATTGGGGTAATATGAACGTTTTTGAAACTTAATTGGTCTTTTAAGGCATTTTCCCTATGTATATATTCCGGTATTCCCTACCAAATGAAAATTAGCTAAAAAAAAGTCATATAAATAAGAGAAATTAAATATATTTTCTTTTTTTATTTTTTGTTATTATTATCTTCCTACTTATTTTATAAGATAACAAGTGTAATTCAATTTAATTTAAATTTGATTGAAATGTTAAATTTATATATTTGTTATCATTTTAAACAAATAAAAAGAAAAATATAAATAAAATGTAATTTTTTTTAATTTCTCTATAAATAAAATGTTTCATTCTATTTATTCTTTTACTTATGACAACAAAACAAGATTTTTCAAGTTTGTCTCGATTTTATGGTTTGGTCAAAATTACATTTTTGATCCTTAATTCTTTTTAATACTCAGACCGTCCTTGTAATATGATTTTGTTGCGTTTCATCCCTAAATTACTTTTTAATTTTTAATTTTAAGTTGTTTATTATTTATATTATTAAAAAACTAATAAAACATGTGGGGCCCACTAAAATCTTTCATCTTTTCTAAGTTCTTACCCTAGATCCCTCATTCCCTTTCACTGAAACTCATCTTCACTTTCCTCGTTCCTCTCTATAACCGGAGCTTTCGTCGGAACTATAAATCTAAACCAGCCATCATCTAGGATAAATCAAATACATGAAGCACCTCCTTTCACTAAAAACCCATGGACAACCATCTACTTTGTCTCTCTCATCTCTTTCTTCCCCCCGCTTCTCTCTACTCCAGATCCTCAAAGATTGTTGGATTCCCCTGCAAGACACTCTGCCCCTCTCCTTGATAAACTCGAACCCTAGTCGAGACCATCGCCTTCGTTCGATTTTCCACCGACGTTCAGTTTCAAATTTGTTATCGAACATTAATGTGTGGAGATGGAGATAAGTTTTACCAAAACCTCATTGTTTTTCTTTTCTTGACGGTGACAGTGTTTCAAGATTTCATCAAGTTCGATTTCCTGATAAAGATAAGTTTTACCAGAACCGTGTTTTCTCATCGTTACCCTGGTTGCAGCCGTTCACCCCTATTTCTAGATTTCATCAAGTTCGGTTTCCATGCTAGATTTTGATTCAAGTTTGATTTTGTAGTTTGTACCAAGATACAAATGCCCATTTTATGTTTAATTTTGGGATTTGATTTCAGATTTGATTACATGGTTTGGTTTTATCTTTTTTTTTTTTTTTTTTTTTGGTTTGGTTATGAGCTTTGAATTTAGTTTTGATCTGTGATTTTAGTTTAGTGTTGATTATAGGTTTTGACTTCGTATACATTGATTCCTGATTTTGTTTGGTTTTGATTTTGTAAAGAGTGGTGGGTGTGGTAGTTGATTTGGTGCTTGATTTTGGTTTAATTTCTTTTGATTTTGTGTAAATTGTGGTGGTTGCCGGAGATAGACCATGTTTGAACGGAGGTGCTGCCAGAATGCTTGTCAGAGGTGGACGGTGGAAGTGGGCGGTCGGCGGTGGATGGGAAGGGAGAAAGGGGTTGTGGAGTAGGTAGACCCACTTATTCATAAATTACTTATAAATCATTTATTTTAATTAATTGATAAAAAACTAAAAAAGAAAATACAAAGGGCAATATAGTCTTTTTATCTTTACAAAAGACGAAAAACGCAAAAATATGATATGTTAGGGACGAAAAACGCAAAAATATGATATGTTAGGGACCATCCAAGTGCAAAAAAACTTTAGAGACCTAATGCGTAACTTTAGCCAAACCACAAGGACGATTTTAGTAAAGTGTAGAGTTTGCATTTGTAACCGACAAAATTGTAAAATTGATCTTTGTGGTTTGCAAAAATTTTTGGATGGGGTATAAAAAGTTTTCAGCTTGCATGGAAGGTCCAAAATCAAGAATTTTCTTTGGTTTTGGTCCTTAAAAATTTAAAAGGACTATTTTGCCATTATTAATTCTTTTTAACATTTTCTTTATTTGTTTTAATTGTTTTATTATTAAAAAGAAAGCAAAAGAAAAGAAAAATAGGATGGGTCTACCCACCTGATCTCTTTCTCCCTCTCTGTCTCTCTCATACACATACACATATACATACACACATGACCTTGTCTATTCATATCGTCTTCCCCACCCTTCATGTTCTACCCGTCTTGTTGCAACTTCTACAAATCAGAGACACAACATCACAAATGCTTCACTCCGTGAAGAATTTTCAATCTGTTCACCTTACACTTCTTCCACTCGTGTTTCTTCACCTCGAGTTTCTTCTCTGAGATCAACTAAGATCAAATCGATGATTCCAGCTCTGATTTAGAGCCCAAGTCGTAACCCTAGCCCTTGCCCAAGTCCGATAGGGTCAATACAGAAAAAATCAATCGTTAATAGATGGTTATTGGTGTCCG